CACCAGCTCACGCCGGCGCACGCACCCCGTGTGGCGATCGAACCCACACACCTAGACCCCACTAAAACCTAGGGTCAGCTAAGAGTTGGGAAATCTCACCACCGTGACGATTGCAGACACATTCTATATGCTTGCTCCAAGCCGTCGGTGTCTAGTCCATGCAACGACGTGCCTCGCAACAAACCGTGCAGTAAGGAAGAAGAAACATATAGGTCATGAGTTATGCAAAATACCCAAAAATAATTAATTTTGAGATATAAAAATATAACCGAAACGTACTTTAGAGAATAATTGATCGGGCATAAGCATACCCAAACTTATCACGCAAGGAATTACGGTAATTTTTCATGAAAATTATATGCAACGAGCTCATTTTTTTTTTTTTTTTTGTCTCCCAAGCTTTAGATAGGAGCAGTTCAAAACAGAAAAGAAAAATTAGTGTTGTGTATCGTTGTTTGCTGCACGGAGCACTGCCCAAGGGAGTCATTGAGGTCGAGAGGGAGGATGTCGGTATGAGGTCGGCCAAGAGAAGGAAGAGGAGCTCGGCAGCTGAAGCTTTCAGCGATGAAGGAAGCTCCGAACGGCGCTAGCGGCGTCGAAAGTTACGCAGGAGAAAGGAGGCTCGGACCACCCTGAAGAAGGTGGCGGCTCAGTTTCGGCCAGCACTGGAGGAGCTCAGGCGGACGGCGCTGGGCTTCTCCGGCACGAAGGAGGGATCTGGCGAGGGAGCAGGTGAGCCCGGGCTATCGTTTGGGAGATCGAGCGGGTGAGAGGAGTTTCGCGAGAGCTGGAGCGTCTCGAGAAGAAATAAGGAGGCAGACGCATGCGTTCTAAATAAAATAGAATAACAGGAGAGAGAGAGGTGCATGTGATCTTCTTTATGCATAGAATGCGCGTGAGATAAAGCATGATAAGATGCGATAATATTTAAATATGATCTTCTCCTGGATAGCATGCACATGAAAAGAATAGGATGAGATAATATATATATATATAAGTGGTTTGAAACAATCCCGAATGACGAAACGGACCACGCCACTGTGTGCGGAACGTCAAGTTCACTTAAACAGGAAGTTCATTTTGCTGTGAAAATGTGTTCAGGCGAATAATACGGGAACGATAATAATAATAATAATAATATTATTATTATTATCGTTCCCGTATTATTCGCCTGAACACGTTTTCACAGCAAAATGAACTTCCTGTTTAAGTGAACTTGACGTTCCGCACACAGTGGCGTGGTCCGTTTCGTCATTCGGGATTGTTTCAAACCACTTTTTCAATGATCGAGCCAAAAATGATAATTTGTGCATTTAAACATCGCCCGCAAATTCGTGGCGAGTTTGGCATTCTCCTTATGTGAAATCGACGTTCCAAACGTACTCGCATGGTCTGTTTTGTCGTCTGGGGTCATCCGAATAGCTTCGTCGATGATCGGGTCAATTTAAGCCAGTTTCGCGTGCAAAGTAACAAATAAGACTCGCTATCCCGATTGAAGTCATTCGACCAATGACATGTTGACCGACCATCGCCTAAGCAAGAGCCAGAGTCTAGCAAAACGACATCGACAACGTGCCCCTCAACACTCGTCAAAAGGTCTTAAATTGATGTCTTGCGCCACTAGAATCAACACATGCATCAAACAAAGTTTCATAGTGCTCGAGCAGACATCCTACACTTGCGACATCCAAAAATTAATGCCAACAAAAGGCCTCCAACAAGTGCGTTGCGCCACTGAGCTACAGTGCACTTGGCAGCATCCTCAAAAGAAAGACTCTCTTAGTAGTCGTGGTGGCATCCCAAGAGAAGACAAAAAAAAACCTCAACCAGGCCAGGTAAACTGGACAGGGTATAATCAAGGGGGGGTGTGGCTAGCCAGTCAAAACCGGCAAACCACAAAGGAAACCCAACCAGACCAGATAAACTGGACAGGGTATGGCTGGGTGGTATGGTTGGGGGTGGTGGTCAATAGTCAAAGCTAACTGTCCACCGAAAAGCTCAGCCAGGCCAGATAAACTGGACATGGTATGGCTGAGAAAAGGTTGTCTGACCTCACTCAAAACGACAGATCGATATGTCTGACCTATCTTTGGAAACGACAGAATCGATGAAATCCCGCACCTGACCTCATTCGTAATGATGAGGGAGAAGACTCAATTATCTCGTGTCACCAAGTCTCCTGTTATGTTTCTCCTAAAAGGGACCCTGATTGCAAGTCTAACTGATCCCTTTAAAAAGAAGCACCCATCACATAAAGCTTCCTCATACATTCGATTGTTGGATCTCACATAAGTGTGAATGGTTGCAGATCAATCCAAATCGCCCCAAAAAGACTATTATTATTATTATTATTTTATATTAAATAAGCATAGTTAATTTAGAGTGCACCATTTGGACAACGCGCCTTGCACCAATGCACTTTCAAGGCACTAATAATGCAAGTCATTTTGTTGCGCCGCACCACATAGATGGCATCGAGGGTGTACTGCACCGTGCCATGCCATGCAACATGGCACACGCAATTGTGTTCTATTGACATAAATGCTCAATATCTTTAGTGGTTCGTCCAATAAACACAAATGGTTTTAAGAAGCATTACAAAAAGTCTAAAATAAAGAGAAAATATTATTATGATAATCTAATGAAGATGATTCTACTTCAAGATCAGTGTGCCAAGTCATTAGTTCAAGTGGATGGGAGCTCACATCTCAAGAATCATGAAGAGTGTCCAAATTAATAAATCTAGCATAAAGATAAATGTTGGAAGTTCCTTCCTTCAACTTACAAAAAAATCCTTAAGGGCGCTTATTGCTCTTTCTCAAATTATGTGTGTGGATATAAGCAGGTGTTCTCAACAAGGGTTTCGAAACCAAGCTTAAATGTTTCCACAACATACTATCTTATTGAGTTTCATAAGATTGAAGAAGCAAGATATAATCTCTTAGCTTGGGTGAATGCAAATCACTTAGTTTTATTTTATTTAATTTTCTTGATGACAGCCATAGAATTTCAACATTGAAAAGCAATATAAGCTAGGGTCTGATCAAAACTGACTTCAACGTTGATAACTTGGTGAGAGTTAATAATGTATGTCATAGTTTCATTGGGCTTCTTCATCGTAATATTCAAGTGTTCTTAGATTTTGAAAAGATTGCATAGTTGACGCGGGACTGAGAGGTCAGCCGGCTGAACCGACTAGAAGATGGACCAACAACACCGGTCCAAGCCCCAATTAGAAGGGGCAATAATGCCGCTAGCTCCTTCTCCCACTTATCTTTTATGTTATTTCCCTATTGGAGCCTTCCTCCTTTGTTATTCCGCTATTGGAGTCTTTTTAAGTGTTGTTTTCTGGAATTAGGGTTAGTTTTTTGTTGTTTGTTGATTTCAGGGTTCTTCTTAGAGTCTTCTTCTCCTTTGCTAGGGCTGTATTGGAGGACAGATGGTGCTTCGGTTGTATCCTCCTCTGAGTTAATGTTGTATCCTCCCCTATCTTCTTTCCTACCCTTCCTCCTTCATTTCCCGTAGCTGTCGGCCACCCCTAACCCTTCCCGTAGACCAGCCGCCCCCTTTCCCCAGCCTCAGGTTTGCTGTCCAACCCAATCCAACCACCAAACCGCCCTTGCCACCTTTGTCTTTGCAGCATCTCCTGTTGTTTCCCTCTCCAGCCATTACCCCATGTCGGCCCTAACAAATAGTTGTTCCGGCTGTCCCGATCGCCCCATCAGGCACCCAGTAGCTCTTCCCTTCCTTCTCTGCCACCTGCTCTGCCGCCCACTCCTTCAGCCCTCAAACTGCCCCCTAAGTCCTTTTCCAATAAACCATACAGCCATCAATCCCTCCCCTTCCCTCTACCACCTCGCCGACACTACTACTGTCCTCGGGGCTTCTCTTCCAGCCCTAGCCGAACAGTGTTGTTGTTGTGTCGTGCTTTCCATTCCAATTTGTGTTATGTTGTAACCCTAATTCAGAGCAAATAAAGTTTGCTTTCATTCCTATTAATTTTTGAACTAGTTCTAATATCAGTAGTATCATGAATTTTATAAAACAATTTTGGCTTCATTAATCCTGTGCTCGCCTGTAGATATCAACTTGGTTAAAGTCAAATAATCTTAATGTCTTTTATTCTCGGTGTGCTTGATTACTTTTGTGGTGCATAGTACTTCACATTTCCAGATGCTTCTGCATATAAGTTTCTCTTTTCATTACAGCTTATCTCTTGTAAACAGTGGTATAATGGGAGTGTTCCAACTCATTCGTAGCTAGTAATGTAAAGTTATAAGAAAAAAGGAGCTACCTGCATGGAATTAGTTCTCATTGATTTCCTCTTTCCTATTTTCTCTCACCAAGCTAGAATAAAATTTATCATAGCTTACTCTTATATATTGTTAAAGGTATTTTCTAAGAAAAAAAGTTATCCTTCTTCTTATGTTCACAATTTAAAACATGGTAAGTTAAAATAAGATCAAATACAAGTAAATAGAAGAAATAAATTTTATACCAAAAGACAAGCCACCAGATAATGGCACAAAGTCAGCATGTACTCAATCTACCTTCCAAAACAAAGCGATGATGGTATTAAGCAATAAACTAAAATTCTCAAGGACATGGATTAAAGAAAGAAGTGTGGATGTCCTGTTTGACTTTGCGATTGGTTCATATATTAAACTACTGTAGAAAATGCCATGAACGACAAGATTGTATCTCAAGGAGGAGGAAATTCAACTCCTAAACCTTGTAAGGAAAATTATTGAAATAACAACTGCTCTCCAACTGCAAATGCACTTTAACTAATAAGGCAATGATAATTACATTTAATAAATTAAAAAAAACTTTTGAAAGGTAATGGTACAAGCCAACAAAAAACATTAGAATGAAATACGAATCTAATAAGTTATCCATAGAAGAAAAAATTGACAGTGAAGGTTCTGTAGACCATGATTGCTGCTAAAAGAGTTGCTTCTGAAATCAATGCCAAAAAGATATAATGGAAGAAAACTAACCTGACGTATAGCTGCCTCAATTTTTCTTTGTGATTCAACATCAAAAGGATCAGCATACATCAGAGCCTAATAATGAATGGGGCAAAAAACATTCAGTTTAATGAGCTTCAGCCACACACTTCAAAATATAACAGGAAGAAAATTAGGTAACACCAAGACTACAAACACTTCAAAAACAATTTCCAACAAAAGTTAATTAGTAGAAAATTTATAAAATTAAAATTGGTCTAATGCACAAGCGCAACATTCAACTCCAAGCTTATAGAAACATAAAAGTCTCAATAGCAAGAATGTGTCCGCCTTACAAGAATATTTAAATAATGAGCAAATTATAAATGGAGCCAAAAGAATTAGCAATAAGTATTGGATAAAAAAGGATCCATAAGTCACTGTTTATCAAATCTTCTTGGAAACAAAAAATAAAAATAAAAAAATAAAAAAAAGAAAGAATTTGTATGGCCTAGCAAATCTCCTTTTATTCTCTTTCAAAATTGAAAAGTAAATCTGCTTACAAGCTCTTCTGCTTGTTTATTCCTTAACTGCAACTTTTGCTGATGACGCTCTCTCAGGATTCTTTGCAGATTATCTAGGTCACTTCCCTGTATAGCTTGTGCAAGTGCTGGATCACTCTGCAAGTTGACATAATTAAACCTTTTAGAACAACACACAATCAACAAAATAAGAAGAGTAACCCTTTCAGGATAATATAAGATGCTTGCCAAAATAAATAAATCAGATTATTTATTTCTATGATATTATTTTCAAGGAAAAAGTTGTGCTCAACTCCATTAGGCTTATTACTTCGATACAACTTTTAGAAAGAAAAACTGTCCCTATATATGTAGCTTACCAATATTTAACGTCAAATATAATAATTTGGATTAACCATTATGTGGTGATAAAGCAAACTTTGTTCAAGAAAAAAACAAAAAAAAATTTGGATTGTGGAAATCTGAAAAGATTCTGGAGAAAATCTGAGGTCCTGAAAGATTTGATTGGCACAACTTAAGAAACATTTGATTAGTTTATTTCCTTCCTATTCTATTTCAGAAATATTTCATTTTCTAATTTAGGTTAGATATATTTGATATGTTTGTAAATTAGGAGGGATTGTTTTCCCTAGAAATATATACCGTACAAGAGAATAATATGGATCAAGAGAATTATTCCTCTCCAAAACTTGTTTTCTATATGGTATCAGAGCCATTAGCGTTACCCTAGATCCTCCGTGCCGACCTCCTTGCTACTGGAAACTCACCTGAACCCTTGCTGGCCGCTGGAATTCTCATCTTTTCGACAGCAGACCTCTTCTCTGCAAGCGGCATTCTTCCTGCAGGTTGCAGGCCTTTTTCGAAATCCTCCCCACACTTCCTGCAGGTTGCATGCCTTCTTCTGAATCCTCCCCACAGCTGGACTGCTCAGCATCCGTTTCCCATAGCAGCAATGACAGCAGGCACAGCAGCAGCGGTGTCCTTGCAGCAACAAATCAGGCCTTGGAACTTTACATGGTAGCCTCTACTCTTCTGAAGTGCAAGGAAACCCTTCCCGGCAAGTTTTCCTCCTTCAGCAGAACTACAGCAGCAGCATCAGTTGTTCTCAATAGCAGCATTGGCTGAATCTCCTACAGTTTTCAGCAGCCAAACTCTTTAAGTAGCGGCAGAACCCTCCTTCAGAAAAAAGAAGCTACTGTAGCACAAACACCCTTTTATGCCGACTTTCTGTCGTTCCTACTGTCCCTGCAGCAGTTCTCATCTGCCAGCACTTCTCCTGCTGTCACGGAATTCTCCCCACCTTAACTCTTCCTTGCAAGCAGCCCATCCCTGCAAGCAGCTGAAAGTCCTCCTCGCAGGCTCATTTCTTTCTGCAGTCCCCTTCCACTGCTCTTCCTTGCAGCAGAAATCCCTGTTCTGTTCTTCTCTGTCCATCTGAACTCTCCTTTCCTGCAGCAGCCTTTCTTCTACACAATCAAATTCCGTCCTACAACAACAACATCCCTGCAGACTTCTCCCAGAGCTCCCTACAAACTTCCAAGTGCTCCTCCCAGCCTTCCTGCCATCCGCCGGTGACCCAGCTGCTCCATTCCGAGCCAGCAGAGCAGCCCCAGGCAGGGGCCAGCCAGTAGCCGCAGGTATCTTCTTCCATGTAAGCAGGTCTCTCTGGCTTTCCAGGAGTTCTCCACTCCTGCGGCAAGAAGCAGCCAAGAATCTTGTAGCTTGCCGCAGCTCAGAAGTTTTCCAGCCCTAAATGTGAATTGGGTTTATGACCAAATATAAAATGAAGAAGGTAAGTTCTACTCCGGAGCCTACCAGCTTGATGATATATCAAGATATTATATTCTCCTATCTTGTTAACGATGGAGGATTTAGACATTGTATAATAGATTCAAGTGCTCTGATCACATAACTGGGGACATGCATGCTCTCATCAACTACCAAGTAATCACCAATCACAAATTTGTTAGAATTTCTGAGGGATTTCACTCCAGGATTGTTGGGAAAAGAGATGTGAAAGTATCCAAAGATATTCAGCTTTCTTCCCCAACTAGATTGAAACTTACTTTCTACTAGAAAGCTTATTCATGACCCGAATTGTGTTACTAAATTCCATTCTAACTTTTGTGAATTTCAGCTGGAGGATTCAGGGAAGGTGATTGTCAGCATTGAAATGCATCAAGCTGTCATGACCCGGCTCAGAGCTTGAAATTAAACAAGATGGGAACAGACGGTCGGAGATGAAAATAACTTCTCTACTATCCTGTTTCTATCTCAAGCAGTTTAATATTCAAATAATACGTGAAATATCCACTAAAATGAAAATATTCAAGTATTCTATATGCATTTACTTTATCTTTAATTTACTATATACTCTTGACATAGACATCTATCTCTATGAGAATCACCGTCAACAAAACCTAACACACCCTTAGCCAATATTGTCTTGTCAGCTCCCGTCGACACAGCGGTTAGTGATGTAAACATCACAATTGTCTAGGGTGGAAGACATCTACCTGTCTTCTATCTGATATTATCCCACCGGCACAACGGTTAGCAATATAGACATCACTGTTGTTTGGGGAGGTAAGCTCTGGTCTACTCGCCCTTGGCCGATATTATTTCGACGGCTCAGCGGTTAGTGATCTAACCATCATCTGGGATAGTTGAAAAACTCTATGCGCGAGGGTATACCGACGTCCCCTACCTGTATCATTAGGGGGTAAAATCCTCATCTAAGCATGTGCATACAAACATTTATATATAAACTATTTCATTCTTTATAACATATAATATTCTGAAATATCTTTATACATTTACTAACATGCATATTTACTATGTTGTGCAACTATTCATCATACATATCTCATATTTATATCATGCATCCCTTTCCATCGTGCTTATAATGTGTATCTATTCTATCATATCTATCTTTCAGATCAAGTATATCATACATATCATGCATCTCATACATATTTTTCATGCATATCTTAATTAAAATATGAAGAATCTAACTTAACTAGAATATCCATGGAGTCAAACAAATATTTTGAAATAAAAAAGATTACTGAAATTTAAAAATGTAATTACTCGCCTCAGTTGTCACGCCAAAATCATAATCTTCGTAACTAGCTAGCATTGCGATAAATTTATGTTAAACAAAATAACATATAAACAAAATATTAAACTTTAAAATTTAAGCAATTCTTGTTAAACAAACTTAGAATTAATTTACCTGATTTTATGGAATCGTCTTACAAATAGTTTTCACACACTTGCCTCGAACTAATTGTCGGCACTAAAAAGTAAGAAAGGAAGGTTGTTTGGGGGGGTCGCCCGTAAGAAGCTGTCGGCAGCCGGAATCAAAATCCCGTCGCCCGCTTCGGAAGGACGTTTTAATTTACGTGTGTATATATATATATATATATATATATATATGTAATTTGAGAAAAAATATGA